ATGATGGATTTAACTGAGTGGTTGTGAGGGTGAAACGTGAGAGTGAATGGAATGCGGTCGGAATCTTCCTTATGCGACGTTTGTAGTGCTGAGATTGTAGTGCTGAGCTTGTTAAAGGCCCAAGCCTGATCAGATACATCATCAAACACAGAGATCGCATGAAAGGGAATTAAGGCCAGATCATTCAAAAGCTTGTCCTTGTTATAATCTTTGAAGTTCCTATAAGTGACTTTCCTTGATCTATGATAATTAGAAAATGATCTCATAATGGTGTAAACCAAGGAATGGTCACTGAGACGAGGTTCAAAGACTTCAAATTTAAGAAACCTTCTACTGTTGCTAGTAAGTATTACATCAATTAATGACTGAATTGATGACTGAGTAATTCTTGTAGGTTTGTCTGTCAAACAGTCCAGGTTGAATATATCACACAAGTCTAGAAGCTCACGACCACTATTACCAGGATTCATTAAGTTACAATTTAAATCACCACGGGAAGTATTGGAAATCATGAAAGATATTTGTTTCATTCTTGGTGTACACTTGATATTGAACACAAACGTCAAGGCATGAATCGTTGTCTGACAGGGTGCGGTACCGGGGAGAGTGGCGAGACATTCAGGCCTAAGAAGGCATTCTTGAGGAACTTTTTACATTTAAATTCGGCTCTTGTTAGGAAAGTGCCTCAAGAGGGTTATTGAGCCGCAGATACAAACCTGTTTAATGTTGTCAGACGAAAAGTTATTCCTTCCGCTTTGCAAGGATTTAGTGACACTTTTTGGACTGAAACAGATTGGGCCTAAAACAAGTTTTAATGCATTTAAAGTAGATTTTGTCGACACAAACATTGTCGTATTAGCTTTAAGTTGATTTCCATAGTCTAAATGATCACTATATCTGGTACTTTTTTCTCTTAAGTGTACATGTCCCACGTAGATATCATTGTCTTCTTTGCAGTCTTCAGCTGGTTAAGTTTCTAAAAGTCGCATTTCAATGTACTGCAAATCAATTATTTAGCTCAAACGTAAAATCATTAGGGGACAGTTGAGAGGCATTCTCTTGGAAATATAAGCAAGGGCCTTTCCTCCTTTCCTCCTTACATCAAGGTGAGGATAAGGTTTAAAGTTAGATCAAAATTGGAATAGACTGTTTTTCTTTTTTAGTCGAACACAGAGTTAATCCACATAGAAAACCTCCCAGTCAGTGATTTCGAAGTTCTGACTCCCAGCTAAGATGCTGGACTGGTCCCGCCGCCAACTTCCAACTGGAAAGGACGAGTAGGATCCTGAGCTGTATCGAGAAAATTTTGTATATGATGATGCACGCATCTGCGAGTTGGCGTTGTCAGCAATGTAGATGTTGTAGTTGTAGCCAAAAGTTGGACCAAAGCTGGACATCTTGTAAATTGCATATTGTGGCTGTATCACCATGCTTTTAAATGGTTGCAGTCCTCTTGAATTGCGGAGAGAAAATATGAAAGCTTTGGAAGTGTAACCATATCCACCACTAGATGCTAACAAATAAAATAAGCATTTTTATCCATGAGTCTACCAAACGAATATTTCTTTTATTTCTTTGAAGGACTCACTCTGAGCCACTTTTGCTTTGAATCTATTTGCGGCGGCCAATCATGCTCTCTAACTATTGCTCATCTTCACCATCAGGAAAGCTCAGCAGTCACAGACGAAGAGCAAAAAGAAAACGAAAACGAATGGTATTTAACCAGGGATGATTAAACTCTCGTAAAGAATACTGAGAATGATATTGACAAGTTGACAAAGCAAAAGATACGAAAGAGTAAGGAATAATTCATTTACCCCACGGAATGTCGGTGTATCCTCCAAACACGTACTGTCCTACTTTTACGATAGTGACAGTGTTCCGCTTCCCGTCACATCTGCTGTGGAAGGTGCTGACCGCCCAGCCGTGAGTACAGGCGCGGTAACACAGTATCCACTGAGGATGACTTCCGACTGCGGGTGTCAAGAACTCGTGAAGTTTAGTTTGATATTGGGCGTTCCCACCGATTATTGCTGAATTCATCCAGGACTCTATAATTTGACACAAACACAGCAAGCTTTTATCTTAAAGTTTTGCTAAAGGGCAGTGAGCATCTTGGTGGAAAGTCAAAAGAGAGGGAGGGAATGAAACCATTTCTTGCAGTGATATAGACAATTCTTTGGTTATCTTTCTGTAATTTGTTTCATTGTAAACAGAAGTTGCGTGACATGACACTTACACATTCACGTTTAGGTTAAAAGCGAAACAGGAGATGTAATGATCAGAGCGATGGCTTTTTAGGAGATTGGGTTCTAAGTTTGTGACGTGCTGAATGTTGACGGTAAACAATAAAACAAGGATTTGACGACTGAGAGGAGAGTGTACCCCACAAGTTCGGTACAATTGTATCATAATAACCGATGATCACTGTCACAGCAAACACACAATATCCGTGAGTGCTATAAGGAAGAACACCAACTTTTTCCCATAGGGAGGAAAGTGACTCCCTCAATGAAGGAAGGCACTGTGACTTTGCGAACGTTTATCTTACGACTCTGCATGCTTTAATGATATAAAAATTAGCACATCACAATTAAGGGAAAGACGATGACTGTGATGAATTTGTAAATTTTTGGAATAACTCTTCTCTCTGTTTATAGAAAGAGGAAAAAAAAATAATTTTTGGACGTTGTGTTTGTTTGGATGAATGGATGAATGAATGAATAAATGAATGAATGAATGAATGAATGAATGAATGAATGAATAAATGAATGAATGAAGGAATGAATTAATAAATGAATGAATGAATAAATGAATGAATGAATGAATGGTTGAAATTCACTATTTGATCCTCACCTGGTGGGACATAATTCAAGGTTGTCAATGTGCTGATAGTGCCAAGCTTATTGCTGGCTTTGCACTGGTAAACACCGGCATCTTTAGGACTAAAGTTGGCGATGGTCAAATTGTAACTTGTAACAGAAGTTCGGCCTTGTGGTAAGGACAAGAAGCCCCTTGACCAAACCATCGCTGGTGGAGGAAAGCCAAATGCTCGACAAGGGATTGAGGCGTCCGATCTTCCTATTACTCTTAAGAATCGATCCGGACTTTGTATGAATACTGGAGGCACTAGATTGATAAAAAAAGAAAATATATAACTCCCATTGTCGCAGAGATACCGTAAGATATTTGACATTTGCGCCTAAGGTAGTGTAAAATAAATGAATATAACAATGTAGATGGAAAGGACTAATATGGCTTTTTACTAAAATGAAGGGGAAACTAACAAAGAAATCAACTGATTTGAATGACAAGCTAAGACATGAGCTAATCATGTTTGAAATAACTTCAGGAAAAGTTGAAAACAATTGGAAATTCTTTATTCGAAGCTGTTTACAACTGTTAGTCAACTTGAGTCTGTTTCTTTGAATGTAAAGTTTTTTAAAATAAATTTGGCTGACCAAATATTGTATCTTACCTTCCACGAAAAGCTTAACTTCTTTTTGCATTTTTCCCAATATATTTTCAGCCATGCAAACGTAACTCCCCGAATCATTATAACCAACATTCCTGATGAGAAGTTTATTGTCGCGGCTGTCGAAATTCTCAATTCCTGTGTTCTTGACTTTACTCCAGGTTACTCTGGGTTTTGGATTACCATCAGCCGAGCAGTTAAATGTGGCGGTCTGCTTCTCCCTGACAGTGAGTGATGCAGGAGATACATCTACGTCTGGAGCAAAAATAGACTCGCCTGGTTCGCCTTTAGGTCCCGGATTCCCAGGGAGACCTGGGTCTCCTAATAATACGAGAAAGTAAACAAAGTTAGGTCGTGAGTTTGATTCTATTTTTAGCATCTACATTAGTCTACTTGCAGGCGGTAGTTTGTGATTTCAAGCGCGAGATTCAGCACGGCGAATAGTAGGAGTAACAAAGCGAGGGGGAAGTGGAAAGGAGAGTAAAACCCCTTCACCCTCCCTCTCGCTTTGTGACTCGTTTCAAATCTTTCACCCGTCCAATATGGCGACCAGGGCGGAGAAAAGAAATTGACCAAGGCAGTTACACATAATTATAAAATTTATTATATAAGTTAACGTGGGTGAATAACTAACAAATAATTTTTCCTGGGAAAATGGCATCAAAGATGTGCAAAAAAGTAGGAAGAATTCGGGTAACAGAAAAAAAATACCAAGATCGTCATTTTGCTAAAAACAAAACCTCAATCTGCACCTCTTTGGCCTTTAATTCCAGGATTTCCAGCATCTCCCTTTAATCCTGGTTCCCCGACTGGTCCTACTTCTCCAGGGTATCCGTGATTGCCTTTTCGACCGTCTTTACCGTCCTTTCCAGGAATTCCCTTAGGTCCAGGAGGACCTGCCATGCACAATTTTTTCGTGGGTTGGCAGTAAGACTCGATAGATTCAGCGATAAGAGAAGCAACGTACTTTTTTATCGCAGAATCAGCTTCGTCTGCATCGCCAGATACGTTGTGTTGGGTGCCTAAACTTCGGCGGACAATTTTACTTCTGTACTTGATGACTTGAAAAAAGAAATGTATTACATGTAAACTGCGTACGTGGCTACGTCACGATCGACCACAAATTTACTAGAATTATTACAAAATGAGTGCTCTTGGGTTTTGGGCCCACATAAATCTTATGTAAAGTTCTGGTAAAGCCGGATGACTTCTTTTGCAGGGCTAACTAAGAATATTTTTAAGAAAATAAACAAAGACGGTCGGTTCAATATCACAACAGATTACAAATATTTTGCACTCAGAGCTGCAGGCTGAAGATTCATAAACGATGCTCTCGCCTGCGTGTAGCTGTACCCTCCCTCCCTCCCTCCCTCCCTCCCTCCATTCGATTTCTCCTCAGGGGGAGGATACGGCTACTCTTAGGCTAAAAGTGCTCCGGCTGTGACCTTGGCTGCTGTGGCGTTAGTTTTAGTCATCGTCTATCGCGTGATTCAAGGCCATTTCTATAGACAACCCTTTGGAGGTAAGGGCAAAAATTTCGGGATAATTTCTGCACCAGTGATTTATCGCGTATGGAGAGGGCGTGCTACAATCTAAATATTTATCCTGCTCTACGAGTGCAAAGCGCACTAAAACATGCAATTTATGTAGTTGCGAAGTCATGTAGGATATTTGAATAAATTGGCCTAAATAAGTATTGTGGTTGATTAAATTAAAGAGAAAAAAAAAAGACGATACGTGACAGCAGAGCCATATATATGGTGCATGTAAGCTTAACCTTTTTAAAACACCCTTGCATTAGATTGCATGTTCTCCGTACTGTTCTCTTTACATTGCCTAAGGCTCTGACAAGGAGAATTTGTTTAGCAATCAAGAGCTTCTTTAGTTGTTGATCATTTCCTTTTTTCTCATGACATTAATGTGTGATTCAGAGGTGATATTGTACGGAGAAATTAGATGCTGGTCACTCTTAGAGGTTTAAAAGGGTTAATAATGAAGCCGGATATCCTTGCCAGAAATCTTATTTCTAAAGTGAACTTAAAGTTTAATCTAGGAGCATGAGGAGACTTGTTGTAAAATAAACCGCAGTGAAGTTTGATCAAGGTCACTAAAGGTCTGGCTGTAAGTCAGAAAGCAGCATGATTGATGAATCTTCTAGATACGTTCAACCACTGCCTTATCTCCAAAGGCCCGGACAGCGGCCGCAAGCTAACAAAAACATATGTCATCAAGTTTTGCCATAAAAAGCCTGTAGTGGTCTTCTGAAGGCTCATAAACATCAATGAATAGCTATCCTTAAACAAGGACTGTTTACATTGTGAAGTATCGGCTGATAAGTCACTCTTTTTAACCTATGTGACAGCATCCTCGGCCTCCATTTTGGTTTGAGCGATTTCGAATCAGTGTCGCTATGCGTTAGGTGATACGTTATCGCTTGATCGCCACAGCAAAGATGCACAGCATGTGCTTCTTCGAATTCTCTGAAATAATTACCAATATCATGGCTGTGGATACAAACTGCCTTGTTAATGGCATAATGACGAATCTAACAGCTGAGTACGAGAAAAAAGCTTAAAGTTATACCACTCACCACTAGAAGCATCAAGACTGTCGTTGGCTGGCAGGCGAGCATCTTTTACCACTTTCAGAGTTTCTTTGATCTGTTGGATTTCAAGGGTGACCTTGACTTCCAATATTTGTGTGTTGATCTCCAGTCTCAGGAACAGCGCGATTGTTAGGACAATCGCAAAAACTGACAATAGCAAGGAAGCTTTGTGAAAATTGTCGCACTTCTTTGCTTGACTTAATTTCGTTTCTTCAGCGTGTTTATCCATTCCTGTCGGACGACTAAAAAGTCAAGGAAAATGTCGTGCGTGAGAGCTTGATTGAGCTTAGCTTGAAATGAGACAGTTAACTTGCCAAGCCGGGTAAAAAGTGGAATATGATCCTTTATTTCATCACGTCGACCCTAGCAAAGAAAACAACGAAAATAATAGTATTACCATAAGAAAAAACACAGGCGTCTAAAATGTCACAACTTACCCCGAGGGGATGGGTTCGAGTTCTTCTTGCAATTTGCTTATTACACCAAGAACATTAAGGCATACCGCAGACCCTTGAACAGGCACCCGGGCTCTTAATTCAAATTTCAGCTAAAAGAAGGGGCGCCTATTAGAAAGAGGGCACTTTAAGCGAGAGGATGCGGAAGGAGGGGCCCTTATTAAGCTAGCGCAGCAAGAAGAAAACAATTTGAAGAAAAGAATAGGGCACTAAAAAGGAACCCCTCAAGATAGAAATAACAGAAGCGGAGAAGAAACCATTATCCTGTGCTGATTCCGCTGCTGATGAATCATTAAAAGTTGTAAATAAGGCGGCAATAGAAACATATTTTCCTCGTATCCCAACAATTAAAGGAAGTTAAGGAGGAGGGGGGAGGGAAGGGGAAGCGCTTATTCGAGAGAGGCGCCTATTTGAAATTTTGGCTCGGGGGAGGGGTGGGTGAGTGGGAATCTGGGGACGATGGGGCTTTTATATCAGGAAACACGGTATGTCTTGTAGAGCAGACCTGACAGTTCATGGAAGATTTGGGCGCATATCTTATAGCTACTCTGAAATTTGAAAGTTTATAAAGATTAGGTATGTATGTACGTATATATGTAGTTACGTATGTGTTATTTAAGTATGGAACTTACCTCATTCTCGCCTGTCCAACTGTGAGCAGCCCCAGTGTATAAATCTCCTCCGATCTCTGATAACTCCAAGCCTCAACATCTGACGCCCTCCTTCCCCTCTACAGAAGCTTTTGGCTGTTTTCTGATCCCGAGGGAAGGGGGATGTGAACTTGGCCTGGTTGCGAGGATTAATCTAAACTGGACGTCTCGAGTCTTTCCAGCGGAATACAAGTGTTTTATCTTGTAAAGTGGTGGTGTTTAAAGGTAAAAGTTTACTTTCGCGAGAAGATGACTTACAAGAAAAGGTCTACGAGAAATTCACGGTCGCTGATCTTGCCTTTAACGAAAAAAATTGACAATCAAATCCGGTTCTTGGGTACGGCATTTGAACACAATTTTGGCCCA